AAGGGACATCAGCCTTCCCTCATTCATCATTCCCCAGCCAAAGGAGTAGGACGATGGGAAGGGGGAGCCATAGAACAGGGTCCCAGGAGGGCTCTGCAGGGGGTTGTTGTGTAATTGGAAACATGGAATGTACACTGAACTTCTTTAGAGCAAAAGTTAATTTCTTGGGCAACTTAGTGATTTATTGAGGCCCTATCTCAAAATAAGTCTTTCTTTCTTTTTTTCCTTTTCTTTCTTTCTTTCTTTCTTTCTTTCTTTCTTTCTTTCTTTCTTTCTTTCTTTCTTTCTTTCTTTCTTTCTCTCTCTCTCTCTCTCTCTCTCTCTCTCTCTCTCTCTCTCTCTCTCTCTCTTTATTAATGTCTGTAACTTGCATAAAAACCCTGGGTCAATCTCCAGTAACTTTGTTTTGAGCAGGCCACTGAGAATTGGAGTCTAGTGACCTGGAAGCCTGGATTTTACATACTTGCCTCAGGGGTGAGGTGACATTTAATTTAATGCAATTGGGCCAAGACAGAAGGACCTAAGGTGTGTAAGTGCTGCTAGGTTATAAAGTGAGTTAAAGGTCAGCCTGAACTGCATAACAAAATTCTGTCTCAAGAAAGGCAAAACAAAACAAAAAACCCTGGGTAAGTGCTGGATAAACATTTATCTCTCCTTATTTAAGGAGCTTTCCATCTCTGATTATCTTGCTTGACTTTGCTGGAGTCTCTGCTTTGTTCATGTCCCTGAAATAACAATTGCTGTAACTGCCCATAATGCTTTACTCAGGGTGTTGCCAGGACTGAGCCTTGAGCCACACCTGTCTTCTATTATTGTAATTCTACTGTGACACTGTCCCCAGAATCAGAATAGCAGGGTGAACAGTTCTGTCCATTAAATTTCTACCAATAGTAGAATAGCTTGAGTTCCATAATTGCAAGGTTGGTGAAGTCTTTCCTAAAATCACGCACTAATAGCTCCTAATTATACATCTCTGCCTGTGTTCAGCCGGCCAGAAGCATGCTGGCTGGTGGCTCCTTGAAGGATGCAAAGGCTCCTACTGGGAAGGGACATCCCTGATACCCAAGGTGACAATGTGCTCCTGTTCCTGTGACATATCAAATACATAAGACTCCATGTGCAGCCCTCACTCCTATAGCAAGTTCTCCTGGTTCAAGGCTGTAATTCAACACACACAAAAAAGCACAGAAATCTGTCCTTGAGATCAGAGCAGCCTGGAAACCAAGTGTGCCCTTTTATAGCAGAAACTGGGGGAGAACTACAGGCCCAGTAAGCCCCAGGACCACATTCTGCAAGTGACCAGTAACACAGTGAGGTTGTATGAACACTCACACATACACATGTTATCAATCATGCACTAGGTGCCAGGCCCACGCCACACAGTGTGCATCACCTTACTGCATACACTGCCATAGCCATTTGCAGATGAGAACCTACTGGGTCTGGGTCTGGCCACAAGCAGAGGGGGAGGCTGAGCACGGGTCTGACCCACAACCATACCCAGTCCCATCCACACTGTGAGTGTAGCTCTAGATGTAGCTCTGCATAGATAGCTCAAGTCTCAGGATGGATCATAGAGAAGTCAAGTTTATTGGCACAGTCATTGCTCTCTCCCATGATGGCGGCCTGAAACCAGTGACACCCAGTCAGTGCCTGTCAGTACTTAACGCCCGCTGTTTTGCTTTCTTACTATGGAAGCCAGGCTTTGGCAGAAGTCCACTTCTGTGCGGTCAGCGTGAATTTATGGGAAAGAGTAAAAATGCTAAGTGTGGATTTTTACTAACTGGATATTTGACAATGTAGCATGAATCCTTGGTGGCTGATCTGGAGCCTAGGACAGTGTGTCCAGAAGCCCCAGTATGTCCTGAGTGAGGAGCACATGGCCAGGCAGAGTGGCATCCTCTAGTCCCAGGTGTGGGGTACAGGCATTGAGTGTAGGAGTTCAGGAACAGCTGCAAAAACACCAAGACTCTGACTCTGGAAAAAAGAGTGGATACGAAGCAGTGGGTTAAGAAGCTGAAAGGGAAGCAGGCTGCAAAAGCCCAGAAAGAAGCAAGCCCCACAGAAGTGGCCATTAGAGGTGAGAGGACAGGGGCAAGATGGATTGTCAGGGGGCTGATGTAGGAGGACAGACCTGTTCAGGTCAGAGTGAACATCCAGGCCTCCGATACTGTGGCCTAAGGGACCAGCTTCCTTGTGGCCAATTTCTGGACCCAAGCTGGGGGCTGAAGAAGGAACAGTGGGAACATGTTAATATCACAGGATCCCCTGGGCAACCCTTCACCTCTGATAGAAAGGCTTCTCATTGGCTTAATGCCCTGAAACTATCTTCAAGTTCCTATTCATTTCACCTTTTGGGGGGTACTAGGGATCAAAATTAGGATTTTTTCACTGAGCTACATCCTCACTCTTTTCTATTTTTTATTTTGAGATAGGGTCTCAAGTCATGACATTGCCCAGGCTTGGCTAGAACTTGCAATCCTCCTGCCCCCAGAATGGTGGTATCAGTAGCATGCACCACAGAGCCTAGCTTCATTTCATCTTTGACTTTGTTCTATAAATGAAGTCGGCAGGGTCGGTGGAACACACATGGGGCAGAGGAGGTAGGTGCTACCCCATCCCCACGAATGGCTGCCGGAGCTCCTGCTATCCTGTTCCAAGGGTGATACAGTTGCCCACAAGCACAGATCCTGGCCAGCCCACAAGAAGGGCCCAAGATGAGTGGACCGTGGCCAGCCGTGGCCTATAGTCCATGCTGCATGAGGAGGGTTCCAGCTGAGGTCAGTGAGATGCAGCATTTAGAAGGAAAGTGCTACTCCTCCTTCTGCAGGATATTTGCTAATGAAAGTGTCTCACCTGGAGGGACAGAAGTCACTCTCCAGAGACAACAGTGGACCCTTTCCAGCCTGACACAACGCCATAAGGGATCCTTGTAGCCTCATCTGTTAACTGTCCCCATATGTACCTTCTCACAGCTTCCACCATTGGAATTCAGTGCCTCCCTTTGATTCTGTTACTTCCCAGGGTGCCTGGCGCTTTGTGATGGGTTGAACTGAGCCTTGACTTTAACCCTTTAACCATCTGGGCCATCCTCATTGCTAACTTCCGTTCTCCCCAGACTGTGGGTAGCACATCTTGTCATAAACCTGCTTTTTTGTTTCCCATTAACCTATTGTGGGTCTAATGTGCAAGACTCCATAAGAAGGAAAAAAGAGAGATGTGTGGGCCCTGTATAGCTAAGAAATAAGGGCACAGATGCCTTAAAAGTCCAGCTTTCCACCTGAACCAGAACTTCCCAGAAGCACAGAGTGGTAACACAGACAGCTAAAGATTCCACTCGCACTATTCCCGTATTGGTCATGTCATTTGCACCAAGAACCATGTACTGGAAGAGAGAGTAGGACTTAGGGAAGACTTCATGAGTGAAAGGAGTTGTGAGTTAAATTGTACTTCCTCCCAAAACATATGCTGAAGCTCTGACCCCATTATTTGAGAATGACTTTATTTATAGGCATGATCAAGTTATGATGAGGCCATATTTGCTTATATTATGGGGAGCCTTAAGCCCTGTGTGACTGGTATCCTTACAAGATGAGGAGACCTCCAGTGAGGTGACAAAGCAGACACTATAAACCAAATTCCATAAACCAAGGATGTCCGAGGATGATCCCCAAATACTAATGACAAGAGAAGGCACTATGCTACCTGGCAGACACTGCCCTGCAGCTGCTGGAATGGAAGCCCCATGGGCCAGAGTGTCTGTGTTTGGACAAGTTCTGCAGGCAACTGGGCTGCAAGCTGGAGTTGGACACCAGCATTATAGGGAGGACAGCATGCCCAGTGTGGTGTCTGCAGAGGCACAGTGGGAAGAACTGAGAGCATTTGGGCTGGGAGTTATCAAAGAACCCCTCTAAGCACTCAGTGCATTACACAACAGGAATGAATGAGTCATGCAGGCTGTAGGTTGATGACAGTAAGGTGCCCATCAGAAGCAGAAGGGAGGGGGGACAAGTTTGCAGGTGTGAGGCAGAATTCACAAGTTGTCAGCAGGGAAGGCAGGTGATGGCTTCAGTGGTCCCATGCAGACAGAGGCTGGAGCAACAAAGCTTTGGAATGAGCTGGGGAGGGGAGGGCAGTTGGCATTTTGACCAGCCTCAGTGATATTGTTGACTGACTTGTAGCCAACTGGAGAAGGGTTCAAATCCAGATCCCATTGTGGGCCAACTACATGACTTGGAGCTCTTTGTGAACTTGCTGAGCTTTGTCTCCTCATCCTTTGAAACAGCAACCATTGCCTCTACAGTACTGTAACACCCCCACAGTGCTGCTGTGCCTCACACCAAGGCCAGCAGGGCAGGAAATGGGGAACGAAACATTGCTGTGTATGATCTGTGCTCCTGTTGGGCTTAGACCATCCTCGAGACTGTTCCTGTCAGCTGTCCTGACCAGAGCATTCCCTCCACTGCTGGAAAGCAGGCATCTCCTAGATGGGAGAGAAAGCCAGTCCTTCACACAGACCTTACACCATTGCATCTGAGGACATGGTGCTGAGTGGGACTGAACTCTGCTCACAGAAGCCAAAGGAATGCTGGGCACCTGAGCAGGCAGCCTTGGCAGGGCAGCAGGCAGTAGGCAGCTTGGGCAGGGACACACAAGAGACGTGCAATCTGGCATCTTGCTTTTCTCTCTTGGCCACCCTGTCACACTTCCACAGAGGAGGCATTGGAACGCCCAGTCTTAGGACTGCTGTTAGACTGAATAAGCCTCTCACTCACTGCCACCTCCTCCTTACCTGTTAGGAGGCTTTCTAGGATCCTGTATCAACTCACCCACGTGGGGCTGTCAGCAGGGGTAGTTGCACTAAGGAGCTGTATAATTTGGCTTTCTTGGCCATTGTGTCGGCCAGAGAGGTAACATGCTGAAATTTCCATACAAATGTAACTGCATGTTTACTGCCAGCAAATCACACCCACAGGGCAGAACCTAGCTCTGCAGGAGGTGCTCATACCTACCAACCACATAAACAGCTGGGATCCACCATCTCCTCCAGCCACAGCCTGTTCCTGAGAGCTAGGAGCTGCTCCTGCCCAAGGCCAGCAGATCACGCTGTCCTGGTCCCTGGCAACTTGTTCCTGACACAGATGGTATGTTCTTCTTGGGTCCCATTATGCCCTGTTCCTCATGAAGAGCCTGAAAATAATTCTTCCTTTAGATTTGGGACTGAGCTACATTCTCTGACTTTAGGAAAAAGGGGAAGAAGGGAACTTAAGTATATTCAGGTTGGAAGGAAACTTTAAGAATAGAGTGGTTACTGGAAAGAACTTTTGCAAGACTCTCACTCAATAGGGCTTTTCTCCATACTGCTGAAATCCTCTCACGCTGTGCAGAAACCTTGAAAGCACCTCGCTAGTTTGTCTAAGGACCTCTGTCTGGTCAGCTGGCTGGTGTAATTAGTTACCATAGCCTGGATGTTTATAAACTATAGGGATTTCTGGCTTATTATTGGGGATAGAAGTCCAAAATCAGGGACAGCTTGCAGTTGAGTCTTGTGAGGATGCTCTCTGGGTTTGTTGACTGCTACCCATTGTGTTTTTATGTAGCAGTAAGAGAGCTCTCTGGCTACCTTAAGTAAGGGCACTAATGCCACTTCTGAGGGCACCACAGTCATGACCTAATGAACCCTCAGGGACTCATTGCTGGAGACTGTCACCCCAGGTAAGTATTTCAGCATGAACTTGGGGGACACAGACATGCAGCCTGTTGCAAATTCCCAAATGGCAGTGCTCAGTCTAGGGCTCTTCCAGGCTGAAAGTCTCAAATAAAAATCAGGCATCACAGCTCAGTCTCCTGGCAGGGGAGAGAGGAAGTTGGAGAAGTCAGGAGCAGGGCAGGGTTTCACCCTTAATATTCAGGGCCGGCTGCTTTCATATGCCTGAGATGTTATTACTGTGTGTTCTCAGTATATGCCCTGTAGATCAGGAGCTCCTGGAGGGCACTCTGGAGATATGCCTTTTGGGGAGTTCTCTCTAGGGGTCCTGTGCTCTGATACTCAATGACACACACAGAACCAAACACCTGAAGTCACTCATAGAAAAAGCCCAGGAAAAGCTCATGTTCTTATACTTTTAAGTTTGTTTCCAAGGAAAAGCTGAATTCAGATTATGAAAGAGAGTAAAAAATAGATAAAGGAAAATGAGTAAAATGAGAATGCTTTAATATTACATGCATTATTACTTTTTAAATTGATAAGTTGGAATTTCATACTGGAGCTTCATGATGGGACAGTGCTGATGGGAGAGACCTGTCCCAGCCCAGCAAGGCAGCTGCCATGAGTCTGGCCAGGCCAATGTCAAGGGCCACCAGCCAAAATCCAGTGCAAGAAGAGATCACAATAGTTTAGTGGAAACACCAGGGAGGCTGGTGCGCAGAAGGCACAGCTGTTGGGGACAAAGTGGAATCCACACTGAGGCATATTTTTGGGGAAGATCACATTGAGGAGACATCACTTCCCAGTGACTTGTTGTGAGGTAAACTGCTCAACCTTTGTGACTGACCCTTTATTTTTCTTCCTCTGAAAAGAGGTTAGACTCAGTGATAGTGAAAACTTGGGGAAAGAGTACAATTATTCTCCTGTGTGTATGTATTTGTTTGACTTTTCCTTTTTTTTCATTGCTGGGGATTGAATTTACACTGAGCTACATGCTTACCTCTCTTTTTTTTAAATTTTGAGACAAGATCTTACTAAGTGGTTAAGCTGTTGAGATTGGTCTTGAGCTTGAAAGCCTCTTGCTTCAGTTTCCCAGATTGCTGGATTGCAGACATACACCACCTGGCCAAGCTTTGTTTGGATTTTCAAAAGTTAAACTTAGCTGTATCAGTATTTAGCACTTTCTACGCCAGAGGAAAAGACCTCTTCTTTATCTAGATGCTCTGCAGAAGTCTTGGTTTGACTGAGGCTCCTTTCTTTGTGAGGCCACTCTCTTTGAGTGACTCCAAGAATCCCTAGGTGGAAACCAAGACCCGTCAGTCTCTATAACCTTCTCACCTTGCAACCTGCATGTTGGATCCCAAAGAAAAGACTTATTTCCCCTCATGAATCAAAGGAGAAGAAACCTTTGTCTCTTCCTGAGTTCTCTGCAGTGACCTTGCAAATAAGACTGACCAGGCAAGTGAGGGAAAGAGAACCAAAGGGTTCAATATTATGAGCAGGGAACACACCCAGGGGAAGGACCAGTGCTGAGGGACTTGGACTTGAACTTGGCCAATGCAGCCTCTTAACAAAGAGTGATAAATTTCAGGCAGTGACAGCAAAGGAAAAAGACTGAGAGCCTCTAAGTGCAACGATGGAGCAGGTGTCACCCTGGAACAAAATCAGCCCTGTTGAGAAAAAAGGAAAAAAAGTCACATCTATTTGGGGCTGATTAGGATCGCAATCAACTAAAGCAGGTTCAAGCAGTCTTGTGAACATGCTCTGTTTTCTTGAAGTGCCAGCTGTGTAAACTGCTCTGTGCCAGAAGAGGCGGAAACTGTGCCACCGGTTGGGCAGGAATGATGACTGCCCTGGTGGAAGGTGAAAGTTGAGCCTCCATTAAGAAAGGGTCGAATGCAGTCTTGGTCTCTGAGTGTTTGTGCAGAAGTTATCAGTGTCTCAGGAAACTATAATTTTGTCCAGTCCCAAGGTCAGCCTACCCCGAGGTGGGAGGCAGTTGTGACTATGTCTGACATCTGATGGACTGAGATCTCCCAGCTCTGTGTTGAGTGCCCTGTGTGTTGAGTGTAACTCTACGCTGAGTTACATGTCTTCAAAAAGAGAAACACATGAGGAACCATGGAAAACAAGGGCAAGTTTAAGGTCTGATGGTGAAGGCTCTGTCCTGCTGTAGTATAGCCGCACTCCATGGTAAAGTTGTTATTGCTTCCTGGATCAGGAAGCAGGCCTGGGGGATTCTCATGTGGAGTTCATGCTTCCTGCTCAGTCAGATGGAGGAGGGCAGAGAGTCTTGCTGGGTGCAATTTGTCTCAATGGCCATCAGCCCTGAACAACCCATACGCCAGAGTGGCATGTCTTAGGAAGGTTATTCTGAGCTGCCTCAGGAGCAAGAGTCTCTCACAGGAATGTCCCCAGCTACAGAGATCTCCAGCGTACCCAGGAGTGATCTCAACACAGGGCTTGTCAGCTGTAACATGAAGATGGTATGTGTGTGAGTATGTGTGTGTGTTTAGCATGAACACTGCTCCTGAATGTCCTCAGTTGTCACCAAGAAACTTAGCTGCTCCTCCCTTCCTGCTCTGGGATCCAGTGTGGCTTTGCCTTAGGGTCACCAGAGGGAGCAAAGGGAAAGGCAGGAATCAAGGAACATGCCAGCCCATACCTGCTCCTGCAGGTCCTGGGCACCCCTGCTGCAAGCCAGCTGAGACTAGCGCATCTGTCCTCTGGTCCACAGCTGCTTCAGCTTTGAGGTCCTGTTAGTCAGGGAATGAGACAATGGGTTTGAGAAGGCAGCCAGCACTGTTTGGTAAGGGACAGGGACTCTCAGCCGGTGCAACCTCACAGTCCCGGCTCTTACCAAGGTCCACACTTCCCTGATGACACTGGCAACCTCAGATCACACAGTGGCAGCGTTCCCTGATGTCTATACCAGTTCTGGATCCTGCCTGTCACTCAGGTGCTGAGAACACAGGAAGCTTTGTCCTACATTTTCATTACTCTGTGGCAGAGGCTACTTTATCCACAATTTCTGTGACCTTGCACAGGCTGTTATTCTTCCCGTTTTACAACAAGGAAATCAACACTCTGACACTTAAGATACTCACTACTGAAAGCGCAGTTCAGTTAATGACTGATTTTAAATCTGCTCCAGTGCAGGAGCTTTCAGCACTGTTGTCCCCAGGTGGTGTCCTCTCTCTGATCAGGCTCTGTGGTTCGGTCTACTCCAGTCCTCCCACATGTTAGAAAAGGTACACAGTGCACATTTTGGTTATTTCTTCTCTCTTTCCAAGCTTAAGTGAAAGATTCCAGGAGTAGCCTCCTCTGGAAATTGGATATGCAAGTGATAAAAGCTTAGACTCTGTCAGGTTTCAAAACGGAAAAAAAAGATCACAGAATCTGGATGGTTCCTCGGGGCTGCTTGCCCTCAGGAAACACTGACAGAGATGGAGTCTGAGTGTCTGGACTGATTATGGCTCAGTGAAGCTGCTTGATTGGTGGCTTGACATTTAATCACTCTGCCTAGGCTGCATTCTGCCTAGGCTTTTGGATAAAGACTATGGAGACCAAGAGTGGTCACCATTCACAAGGGTGACAGTCCTTTTACTTCCCTTACTTTTTAACAGAGTTATATGTGCTACCCTGATATAATCTCCAGGAAAAGTTGTTTGTTGAGGTTTGATTTCTAATCATTTCCAGGGGACATAAAATTTAGTGCAACTCTTTTGAGGTTTAATAATTTAGACAACCGTCAACATATAAGGACATTATCAGTTAAAGATAACCTCATTGGGGCTGGGGATTTAGCTCAGCGGCATAAGCGCCTGCCTTGCAAGCAGGCAGTCATGAATTCGATGCCCGGTACTGATAAAAAGGAAAAAGACAAAAAAAAAAAAAAGATAATCTCATAGTAAGTTAAGACATAATTATTAGATATGTAGAAGAAAACTTTGTATTTTATTTTATTTTTTAAAATTTTATTTAAAGAAAGACTAAACAAAACAGAAATTGGTAGAAATAATACATACGTTCAGAGAAAAAATAAACACTAAGAAATAACTAGTTAATATTTACATATTGTCCTTTTACAAATAGTTGTTCAAGATACAAAAGTGGAACATATAAAGTGGGAATTCAACCAGTGAAACTGCAAACAGTTCTGTTCAACTATCCGATAAAAACTTAGTAATATGGTTGTCAATCCTATACACTTAAACATACATGCAGTTATCCATATCTTCATTTATGTTGGGATTAAACAAACTAAAGCAAGCTAAAGTCATTCGGAACAAAGAATAATAGTATTGCTGGATTTCACATCATGACACTCTGGAATCAGCACTGAGTACTGTAATGTCTTTTTAAAAATATTTATTTAAAGAAAGATGAAACAAAACAGCAAATGGGTAGAAATAATACATACTTTCAAAGAAAAAA